ATTTGCCTAATGCTGTTTGGGTTTCTCTTTTTGCCTACTCAGAATATGCCTAACAGGAGGAGGGGTCCCCACCTGTTTGTCTAATAGCCTCCTAGTTTGGGCACTTGCTCAAGAAGTGGGAGACATGGGTGCTCCTCTCCTTAGCTTCAGCGGGTTTGAACTCATCTCTCTCACTTCCCAGAAGAGTTGTCTAACTGATACACTTGGTTAAGCTAGGCTGGGCTGTGCCAGTCAGTCTGGATCATCTTCCAGTCCTTCTGTTGAAACTGAATGCAAGAGCCATGGAGTCAAAAGGAGAGCAAACAAGGGGGAATGTGACTGTAGCTCTAGGCATTGCATATACATAAATAAAAGGACCCAAACCCACCTTTTCAATGCAGTGCCCTTTTCGCTGGGCTACTATGTCAGGCTCCCTCATGCTTTATGTCCTTCAAATTGTGAATCCCATGTTAACCGTAAGGCCAATTCAGGGCTTCAGGGAGTAGCATTAAGCAGCACTGAACTTCAGGAGAGGGGCAGGATTCCAGGTATACATCCCTCTTCTGTACTTCCTATTAATTTCTCTCCTCCTGCGTAATGTGCTAGCTGTTGGTTAAGATGCACTTAAGTGACTCCAGAGTGTACGGACCAAAATATATTCCCCTTATGGGTGCACAAATCTATTTTTAGGCAAGGTAAGGCATAACGTCAGCGCCTTTTGGGTGCCTTTTAGAATTCAGGGGCTAGTGAAGAGGTCTTCATCTCAAAAGGTCACTGTAATGGAAGGCAATGTTTTTTGCCCACCATTTGGAGGTAGAGGGGGGAAGTTTGAACTGCTGCTCTCTAAGATATACCTGTTGTATGAATGAACAGCAGAATTCATTTTCCAGAGCTAATTGGAAAAATATGTTTTTCCAGCTACAAGCTCTCCAAATAAAAAATTAAGAGCAACTGCTTAATAATCTTGTTATGATCACCAGGAATACCTATGTACACAGCATATCGGAAAGATTCCTTTCTTAGGATGTAATCACGGCTGAGGGCTAGTTGCCAGTTGAGTTTATCTTGGTATTTTAGAATTTTAGGCAGATATTTTTCCCAAGACAAGTTAAGCAAATCCGTGCTTTTGAGCATCTCAAATTATATGGAAGAATGTTTTTCTTGTTGCCAGATGATAAAAAACTCCCTTTAAAAATCTCAAATCTGTGCTCATTTGTCAAGAGACTGGGCATCAGGCTAGCTAAATTGCTATCACTGGTCATGGTTACCTGAACTGGGCTGGCTACTGTGGCCAAACTAGGCACTTATGCAGCAGCCCTTTCAGTGCCCAGCAGGCTACTCAGCAGGACAGATACCTCTTTGTTTAAGCTTGGGCTTCTGATTTTCCTATAAATGATTTCCTCAGTCCTAACTATTTGTTCCTAGTGTCCTTGGGTCTGCTTTTTGGTTCCTGGTTTCCTGTCCCATCCTAGTTCCTGCCCAGCTGTTCCTGACTCCAGACTCCAACCAAGACTCCTTCTGCTCTAGACTGCCTTGCTGGCTCTTTGACACCTTGTGCTCCACATCCCTGTTTTCAGTCAGCGAGCTCCTGACTTGTAGTTTAGTTAGGCAATTGCCCATGTCTTCATGCCTTTTGGCAATAGCTCCCTGCTCCAGACCTCTTTGCAAACAACATTGATTCAAATTCCTGCCCCCTGTTCTTGCCCACTCCTTGGTCTGTGGTTCTGCTGAGGATAGCCACCTATGTCCTGGACCCACAGAGATGTCAGTCTTCTGCTCCTGACTTTAGCCTGGACCTACCTGCTCCTGGCTTCAGCCTGGACTCTTTCTTCCCTAGCCTTTCTTCTTCCTGATTCCCTGGGCTATGGTCCCCTAGGATCAAGCCCTGGCTGCTTGTGTCCTAGTCATGGCCCTTACACTGTTTTTCTCATTGTATTCATTTTTAATGGAAAACAAATAGACACAAAAGTATTTCCAGTGTTTTAATTTCTCTTGCCTATTCTGCAAAAGTCTTTTAGTCCTGTTTTCTAAGACTGTGGTGTAAGGCAGTGGAGAGTTTGGTCTGTCCCCTTTATTCCATTTCATTCTGAAGGAATGCAAAATTTTATTTTTATTATTAGGGTTTTTTCCCTAGCTTTTGCTGGCTCCTCTCCCTTTAAAAGTAACTGCTATTATGCATTCTTTATCTTTGGCTAGTCAATAAACTTCCTCCAGATTTGGTCTTTCACCTGTAGCAAAACTCATCTCCACCAAGCCAGGAACTGTATGCCCAAAGTCATTTCAATATTTCTTAAGGACAGTGAAATACTCTGACAGAAATTCACACAAGAATCTCTTCTGGTAATTGCCAGGGAGTAATAGAGAGTAAATCAACTACTTTGTTCACCTCCATAGCACAAATTCCATGAACTTTTAATTTCAAGAAGTGATATTATCAGTTCTAATTTGAAACTTTGACAGTGAAATCTGATTTGAGGTTTCTTTCTCCCAGGCTTCCCACAACATTTAATGAAACTGACAATGGGTGTCACCTCACATTGCCTGTGGCTAATTTATCTCCTTGTTTGGTCAGACACAGAAGATTAAACTTCACTTTTGAGATACTATAGTATATTTTTTTCTCCTTAATTGCTGCCAATAGCCAAATGCTAGTCATCAGAATTTCATTCTCCATACCCCTGCTCCCTACCCCACATGTTCATGAAAGAATCCAGATTAACAGCCCTGGGAATCAAGGTCTTCTACAAAACCAAAACATCATAAGCACTAGCATCACAAGCTTCCCAGTGTTGGTCTTCCATTATGGATCAGTGCTGACTTGGAGAGAACACTCTAGGGAGGTATATGATTTTGAATTAGGATTATCCTGAGACAGCATCCTGATCCATATAATATTGGGAAAGAAGAATAAATCATAAAAAAACCAAAAAAACCCAGAATCTGCATTCTTAGATATATTTAGTTGCCAACTGCAGCAGGCAATTGAAAGGAATAGTAATTAGTCTTCTGCTGTGTGTGTCTGCCTTGTTTGGTCTTCAAATTTCAGTTATAGTTTGTATGATTATGATATCTTTTCCATAACAGGCTATTTTAAAAGGTACTGTGGGAACTAGTTTTGCTTACTATACCCATGTTCTTAGAAAGGAAGAGGTTTAACTGAGAGCATAATTTAGTCAAGAAGGTACTCATTAGATACATGGTTTACAGTCCATATGATTTTCAGCTGCAACTGAAGAAAGGTTAGTCTAAAAAAGTCAGCTGCTGGTTGTTATCTAAGGAATAATCCTCAGAAATTGCTTTTTTTTTCCCCACGGCTACTGGGCATTTCTCTAGTCTTACATTACGAAACTCTTAAGAAATGCAGATGCTGTGCATTCATGTTATGAATTGATACCTATTCATCTGTTTATACTATTTATCATTCCATGGTATTGACCTGGAATTTTTACCAGAAGGCATATGGCTTCTAGGCTCTATATTGTTGGTGGGTATCTGTATTCCGTGCCTTTCTTCTTGAGGAAGGAATTTAGTCATTTGTCTTTCTGACCTCATGTAACTGGCTTTGCAGTCATGTCTCGCTCTATATCTTTGCTGATGTACATCATTCTTATGTCATCAAAGTCTAGGAATGGTCTAAATACTAAATAAAACAAGTAGACCTGAACCTTTGTCTTTTTCAGTGTGACATCTCCATCTTCCGTCCTCAGAATGCTGGTTTTCTCTATGGCTTCAAATATACTCATTCAAAGCTCTTCAAACCTTCTAGAATGGATAACTTGTGAGAATATCATGCATTAAATGAATGGTATCATAGTAGGAGCCACATGCTATAGGGACCTGTAGAGTGAAATATGACTCTTAGGGTTACTGGAGATTAAGGATCTGAAAGAATTGAAGACATAAGCATTAATTGCTTTAAAAAATGTAAATGGAATAAAGGACAGAAATTCTCAATAAGATTTCTAAGTTTATATAGAATATGCTTCCTCTTATCTTGTCCAGTCCTGTACACTTAGGAACTTTCATGCTAGAGCAGATACATGATTCATCTTCTGCAGAGGTATCAAACATACAGTTCATGGGCCCCAGGTGAGTTTGATACCTCTGATCTGTGTTAATCTTCAGAAAAATCTGTATTCCTTAATAGATGTGCTTCAAGGTATTTTATTTTATTCCTGACCCTAACTGGTAGAAAGAAAATGCTGTTTAATTTCTATAGGAGTGGTACTTAGAGAGCTCAAGTGGATATTAGAGAATCATTGTACTAAGCATTGTACAAAGAGATACAGTAAAGATAATCAGTGTTACTAACAACTCTCAAACTGTACCCAGTTTTGAGCATTATACCTTAAGAAAAATGGAAATTGGCGAGAGTTGAGAGGAAAGCAACAAGAATGAAAAGGGTTTTTTGGAAACATGATCTTTGAGGAAAGCTTGAAAGAATTTGTTTTTATTTCTAGTCAAAAAGGAGCTTGAAAGGGGTCATAGTGTTCCAATATGTAAAAAATGTTATAAATAAAATAATGATCAATTACTTTCCATGTCTGTGAGGTCAGTACAAGAAAGATTTATAGAGAGGAAAGATATGAGCTTTTGTAGCAATAACCTATTTTGTTAGATGCTAGGAATTTTGTTACTGGTCATGTGAATATACATTATATCTAAAAAATATATTGATGAGAGAAGTGTTTTTGTGATATCTTTTATTGGTCCAGTTGTATAATTGGGAGAGATACTAGGCAAGCTTTCAGGCACAAAACACCTTTCTTAGTGTCTAGGCACTGCTGAAGAGGCCACTTTCTGCCTGAAAACTTGTTCAACATCTCCCCCAGTTTTAGAGTTGGACCCATAAAAGATATCACAAGAAAGCCCCTTGCCTCCTGGTCGTGTCCCAGACTATCATTGCTACAGTAACGCTTAAACATGAGTACAATATATTCATGGTCAGTCATCAACATTTCTGGATTGTTTTGCAGATGGTTGATCTGTCTCCTCATGTCACTCTCTCCTTTCTTTTGCAGCATTAATAAAAAGAATGGTTCCCTTTGATCTAAGTACAACCAAGGAAGATTCCATTAATGTAACTCTCAATGGAATGAAGTAACAAGTGGAAAAAGAGAAGCGCTAAAGCAGCTAACAAGTGTGCAGAAGTACAGCAGCTTTCTTTGTGGGAAATTCAGTTTTACACCATTGTTTTAAAACAGTAGCAATTCCAGCTGGAGTCAGACACAGCTGCACTTTGGGGAGTGATGGAGCTTCAGTAAATCAGCAGTTGCCAAATATTGACTGAAGGTGCATGACATTTGTTTCTCAGGCATGAGACTGTTTAAACATGATGATACGGTATGTACCATGTCTGCCAAAAGGTTTTGTGGCACAAGGGTATGTTCCCTTTGTATTTGTTTATATGGTTCCCCTGGTTGCACTGTTACACACTGGTTATATGTCTTCTGATAATTCCAACCTAAGAACCAGTACATAAATTTTTGCTCAGAATATAGTGTGTACAGAACAGGTAAGGAAATTTGGATGACACTTAAATTTAGATAATATTTAATAATTTAATAATCAAGAAATGATGAATAGAAAGTGTATTTGTCCTAACATTTTATTTATATCATGTTATAAAGACATGTTTACATGGTTTTGGGTATTCCAGTTTATAAAAACTATGGAACCAGGTCATTGCTGTGAAGCAGTTAAGACTAAATGGAATGAAATTTCTCTGAAGCTGGAAGGAATTAAGATAATGCTGTCAGGTTCAGTCTTTCTCTGCTATTAGCTGTTTAATGTCATGCTTAATTCCACAATATATAATATCTTACAATATAATATAGCAATAAGTCATTGTGAATGAGGTTCAG